TCTGGTTCAGGTGATTTTTAAAAATGGACAGCACAGCTTTGATGCTTAATAACCCTGTAGAATAAAATATGTTCCAAGGAATATTAGTTCAGAAAAACACCACATTATAGAAATAGATGCAACAGTGAGGAGGAAAAAGTCACCTCACCCCAGCACATGAGAAATTACTCAGCCACTTCAGTGAGAGTCGAAGGCTATGCGTGCAATGTGAGAAAGAGAACACTGCCCCGCCCAGGGCAAACTGGAGAGTTTTCTGAGTCTATTTACCAGTTAAGACTTGGCTTCTGGTAAAGTAATTTTGTAATGTAATCAGTAACTTAGTCACCTGTGAAATTTATGGTCACGCCTTGATTATATACAAAGCTATCTGGGTATAAGGAGGGTTATTATGATAATATGAAGCTTTAAGAAAAGTTCTCAAGAAAATTATTTATTGTTATTAGGCAATAAATAAATGGAAAGAAGGAAGGAAGGGAGGGAGGGAGTTAGGGAGTTAGGGAGTTAGGGAGGGAGGGAGGGAGGGAGAGATTGAGGGAGGGAGGGAGGGAGGAAGGAAGGAAGGTGTTCACTTGCCCACAGTAACTGGGTACAGTCTCTGGCAACAAAAAGCAGTACTCATTATTTCAAATGGGGGTGGGGATAGTTTAATGGTAGAGAAGGGGAAGACATAGATCAAATGAGAAGAAAAACTAAAAGTATTCATGTTTCAGAAAATATTTCTCTCCCAAGGATTTATTACATGCAGCATCAAATCAGATTAAAAAGCAATCTCTCACTGGCCTCTGTTGAAAGTCACATCTTAAACAATGCTGTGTTACCCTGTCCATAATGTTATGATCTGAGCTTCAAAAAGAAAAACCATGTCTGCCTTGATTGAAATCTGCCTCTTCTTTAGTCTTTGATAAGACTTTTATTTTCATAAACAATTAAGTGTTCAGTTCCTCTTTCCTGGGTCTGTAGTTCCTTGCCCCTTGCCCAGCTAAGATTTTCTATCCTTTTTGTTGTTGTTGCTCAGAGGCTAAGGGATACAATTAAGCTACTGATGAAGCCCAAGTGTGTTCTCTATTTCAGTGTCTCCGGTGGCCTCAGAGGCAGGCAGGAAACAGACTGCAGCCCTACTCACACTCTCTCAGTTCCCTTGTTCTCTCTGGCTGGGGACAGTGTGCGCTCTGCCTCCATGTAAAGGCTCCTGGGGAAGATCCAATATGTCCCAGCCAGCAACCACGTGCTCCTATGTTGACTTGAAGGAAACAAAAGTTTAAAGGAGAGAGTATGTAACCAGAATGTACCTTTGAAAAATTCCAAAGCATGAGAAATCCTTGCCTATAAAGCAGAAAACTTTCCTATGTCAGCAGCATTTCTTAAAACTCAGAGTCCACCCACACTGCAGGCTACACAAGAAACAGGAATCTGCAAAAATCATTACTTTCCCTGTGTGCATTGCCAAGCACCTGCAAGATGAAAAAAGGAATGACATCCAGTTCTCTCTGAGGAAGTGCAGGCCTTTCCAGCACACTCGGTGAGATGAAAACCACATGAAGGAGTAGAAAAAGTCCGGACCATTAAAAATGTATTTTCCAAACAATCAATGCCCAAAAGTTTAAAACTTCCCTTTATAGTCAAGAAATACTTCAACCCTATGACAGAAATTATCAATAATTTCCTTTAAGCAAAACAAATTCTTAAACATTAACTAAGCCCATAGACTACTCTTGTATAAAATGCTAACAAGCACACTGATCTGGAGATTCAGTCATCTGCCCTATGACTGGGAGCTGGCCTCTTAACTTTCCATCACACAGTGTCCTGACCTAGGATTGACAGAGACGGGCTGCCCCCGGCCAGTGAGCACCACATCCTTCCCCAGTCCTGCCTGCCCAACGTTATGGCCTCTCTTTGATTCTCCCCTGCCATCTCTCAATCATTGGCCCCTTATTTATATTGCTTAAACATTATCTCAGTGAACTCCAAGTAATCGTTTATGTCCTTTTGCTTTATTTTAATTTTGCTATACCAGATATTGTATTAGCTCAGTCAGTGGGCCACTGGTTGATGCTTGGAATTTTGTTCATTGATATAGTATTTATCATGATGTTTCATTTGTAATTCCAATCTAAGAAAAACAATAACTATTTATTCCTTGCTTTATTTCAGGAAAAAAACTTAAGACTGCTTTTACAAATACATAAATAAAATAACACTTCTATTTAAAGACAGGAAGTGGGAAAAGGGGGAAAAGTAGGAAAGTTTAGATGAAATTTTAAGGCCTGATTTAAAGCTCAACCTATCAGGCCCACTCACATGCCAGATCAGACTCAGAGCTTTGTAAGCTTCATAGCAGTCAAAGGGAAGAGAGACTTGCTTACATTGGTAGCTGAAACAGCAAAGCCTATTGGTCAAATCTGTCCCACCATTTATTTCTGCAAATAAAGTTTTATTAGAATACAGCCACACCTGATCACTTACATGTTATTTATGGCTGCAATCATGGTACAATAGTAGAGCTGAGTTGTTGTAACAGAGACCTGCAAAGCCTAAAATAGTTACTAACTGGCTTTTTACAGAAAAAAAGTTTGCAGGTGCCTGCCGATGATTCTGTGCCTATGAGACAAAAGCACAGCAATTTTCAAGGGTAAGCACATTCTTTGTATGGTTCTGAAAGGAAAGAGAACTTCCTACTATAAAGAGCTTACTATGTAATCTCCTGAAGAAAACAGACACACACACACACACACACACACACACACACACAGCCTTAGCTTCATTTTTATAGTAACTATAACAACAACTTTCACAGAGCCAATGGCATGATATCACAACACAAGTCAGTAAAATGATTCTGTGTGAGGCTGAAATGATGTAGTTCAGGGGGATGCTCTTCTGGTCTGGCTGAGTTCAGGGAGGATCTGTGCAGAAGGTGAGTATCAGGTCCAGGCAGCCCACCCACCCTCCTTCCTTCTCCCACGCAGATGTGGCTAATGGATCAAGGTGTTCCCTCCTGCTCCCTGAGCTCCCCGGGCTCCCTAGCCATCTGAATCTATCATGAGCAGTTGGCATGCAAGATAAAACCGATAGGTCATCTTTGCTTGATATTCTCTCCAAGTCTGATACTCGTGTAGTAGGCAGATGTTACACTCTCTGCAAAGTATCTGAAGCACAGCTATTCTGGATTCCTGTGAGAGCCAGGAGCCTCATAAACCTGCACAGATGCATCTCAGATGAGTGTCTGAGAGCAGGGCCTGGAGTCTCCTCAAGAAAAGGGTGGGGAACCTGGCCTGTGTTGCTCAGTGGTTGAGTGTTAACCCAGGAACCAAGAGGGCATGGTTATGGTTTGATTCCTGGTCAGGGCACATGCCTGGGTTGTAGACTGGATCCCCAGTAGGGGGCATACAGGAGGACAGCCAATTGATGTTTCTCGTCGACATTTTTATCTCTCTATCCCTCTTTCTTCCCTTGTCTCTAAAAAAAAAATCAGTAAAAACATTTTTTTTAAAAGGTGAGGAAGCTGCTCCTCTGCACAGACCGATGGGTAGACAAGGTCAGAGAACAGCACAGGAATTTCACTGGAAATTCATGCTGTTCAAAGAAACAAAACCTCCAAACAGCCATGACCATGACCCACTGACCCTGAACATATATATTCCTAAAGAACCCTCTAAGAAGCAAGGGTTCCAAAATAAATGCAAATGGTCTGGAAACAGTTCAGTGTTGGGAGGAGATGACAAAACCGCTGACTGTGGATTCAGAGAATATACCTGTAGACTTCCTCTATGCCCATTGATTCTCTGTGACTCTAACACTATCTATGTTACAAATTGATTATATTTCTATCCTATATAATAAAAGCCTAATATGCTAAGTGTCTGGTTGTCTGTTCAACCAATCAAAGCATAATATGCTAATGATATGCTATTTGACCTCACTGGAAAATGCTACGTAATCTATAACTGACTCCTGCCCATGTAGTTAAAGGGAAAGAAAAAGACAAAACATAGTGTAAATCATTTTACATTATTCCTAACAGTTCTTTCCACCAGGTGATTAGAAAGCATTAAACTAGAAAATAAGTAAAAATATTTATGCCAAAAACCTTCTTCCTTTGTAGGAGTTTGTAGCTGTGTTCTAGAAAACACCAACTTCAAAGAAGTAAAACATAACCAGATTGGATGGAGGAGTTAATATGTCCAACAAACATGAGGAATTAATGGAGGAAAATTTTTCTTCACTCTAAAAAGAACAAATACTAACAAATACTGTCATTTACTATTCTAGCACCAATACATGGGATTTGAGTCCAGAACATTAAAGCCATATGCAGGCACATAAGAATTCGAACTCTGCACAGCCTTATTAAAAAAAAAAAGGTACCAGTAAGAAAAATTCTTTAAAAACATTTTTTAAGAGAAAGGGGGAGAGAGAAACATTAATTTGTTGTTCCACTTATTTATGTAGTCATTGGTTGCTTCCTGTATATGCCCTGACAGGGGCTCAAACCCACAACCTTGTTGTATTAGGATGATGCTCTAACCCACTGAGCTACCCAGCCAGGGCTGGAAGAAAAACTCTTAAAGAGGCAATTAAAACATTGAGCCCAGAAGAAAGGGTAACAGTGGTGGGTATATTTTTCTGGAACCAAGCACAGCGATGCCTAATGATGTCCTGAACTTGAAAGTGCACAGAACATTAACACAGAAAATTCTGGAAGAAAGCAAAACCCCCCTCCACACCAGCTGTGGGCTGATTCCTGCTTCTCCAAGCAATTACATAGCCCTCGGGTCCTTTGGTGTGCCCTGGGCCCATGCCGGAGACCAGGAGAGACTGGGTGTTGATAACATTACCTGGGAAAGCTTCTTCTCAGCAGTTGAGGCCATTCAAGTTTGTGCTTCCAAAAGACTACCATCCCAAACCACCAGCACAGAGAGCCCCTTCGCGGAACCACACAGGCGCCAGAAACACTTCCGCCAATTTCTTCAAGACTGGGCGGGAAGACTCCTACTTACGTAATGCATACAAGGTGAGGATTATTCCAGCCAGGCAGAATCCTTCGAAGAACCTGAGTGTGCTGAACATCGTCACATTCACGGACAGGGCCACGGTCAGGCCAAAGATCAGAATGAAGATGATGGAACAGAGCAGCACAGGCCGCCGGCCGACCCTGTGCACAGAGAGGAAATGGCAGGAGTCATCATTACACAGGGCCGTGATGCCAGCCTCGAAAACCCAGCAGATGCTCAATAGATGCTGAATGAGCACTTCCTACTGTCCAGACCCCTGTGGCATATCTAGGGATAGAGAGGCCCTTGGGGAAAACGTAGCCCAACCCCCTCACTGTGCAGAAAAAGGGCATAGATTGAACAGCTACTGCATCATCGAATTGAAACAGGAACCCAAATCCTGTTGGTAAGTCTATTTTTGAGTGAATAGGAGGGTAATTCAAGGCAAGAGTAACAAAATCAATAACAACTCCCCAAATGTAAACCTCGACACACCCAGCATAAAACGTCCTGAGAAATCACTGACCTTTGGACCTGGCACCAAAGTCAACAGACACTGAGTGGAGTGGCTTCATCTCCTTAGTCAGGGCTGGAAAAGAGTTAGGTGTCTGACCTCACACAGCCTACTAGGGCCATGCCAGCTGCTGGTGTGTTTCAACTTTATGATGAGAAGTCATTTTTAAACTAAACTTAAAATAAACTAAGATAGTTTGGACTTTAAATAATGGGTGTGAACCTGAAAGTGAAGCTCACCAGGCAGCAAGGGGTGGAAGGTTTTCAGGAAAAAAAAAACTAGACTGGCAGATTACAGAGCCAGGCCAGATCGGCTACTACTAGGTGTGATGTGCTCCTAGGTGTGGCTGAGAGGTCCGCAGGGGGGCAGAGGGGTCTATGGGAATGGAAGGAAACTAGTTCTTCTCTCCTCTCTTCCTAGCCTTCCAGGTTTTCCTTCATCTATAATATTTAGTAGGGAGGAAAAAAATCATAGAAATTAATATAACCCAACCAGCTTGAACCAGAAGAATAGCTCACAGAGAAAGTGGAGAGAAATTCTATTTGCCAAAGGAAGAAGCCTGGCAGCCCAAATACCTGGAGAGTAGCTAATGCCTTGAATTAGCCTATATGTGCTTATAAAAAGGCATCTACATAAAAGTAGGATGCCCAGAAAAGGCAAATAGAGAAAAACAGAGAGTAGATTCGTGATTGCCTAGGGCTGGGGGTGAGAATGAGGAATGAATGAGGATGAGCAGGTGACTCCTGTTTAAGGTGGTAGAAATGTTTTGGAGTGTGGTGATGATTGCATAATTCTGTAAATATACTAAAACTCACTGGATTGTGCACTTAAAAAGGGTGAGCTTTATGATATGTAAATTATCTCTCAATAAAGCTGTTAAAGCAACAGCAATGCTCAGTAACACATGGCTATGAAGGAGATGAATATAATTTCCAGAAAATTTGGAGGGGGGTGGGTGCTAGAGGACACAATTTCATTCAGAATTTTTTAGGCTTCTAACATTTCCCGTAGTCACTTTAGTTTAGTGAAATGAGGCCGAGCTATGAGATCAATAACAATGTTCTGATGCTTTAGAAGAGATCCTCGATCTTTTTCTTACTTGTGTAAACTATTTAAATCTCTCCCTTCGAAATGATTGCTAAGTCAGTGAATAAAATTACAATTAGGAACTGTGGGGCACATATGATCTTCACAGTCAGAGCCGTTGGTCGTTTATCCAGGCCCACCACGTATAAACTACATACACGGTCACGAGAAAGACCACACTTGTCCGAACCGGCCTCCTGTTTCCTTAGGAACAGCTGCTCAGTGCCAACCTAATGGGCTTGCTGTCAGGGATAAGTCAATTATGCAATTATCAATTATGCAAGTGATCTAGCAAATGGTCAACAAGTGTCAGTCAGAACCCCTGGAGTTTTAGTGTGGACTGGCTTCCCTGGGCAGAACCCCATGCAGGATGAGGGATAAAACCACACCCCTAAGTTGGTAAGGCAGAGACACGGAGGGCTTTATCAGCGAGGCCCTGTGCTGAGCAAATAATGGCCCCCAAGTATATCCACACCCTAAATACTGGAGCTGGGAATATGTTACCTTTCCTGGCAAAGGGGATCTGCCAGGAGCTAGAGGGCAAGGGGTAAGGGCTCCTGGGGTGAGAATGCAAATGTTTAGCATAAGAACTAGCCATGGGGGGAGGGGTGTCATTTGGCCACTTCACCACCTCAGCTGTCTCCTAGAACATCTAAACTAGCACTTCCTGAAACAAGTGATGTACGTTCCCACATAAAACATGTGCGGGAACAGTAACTTCTTAAAGGACAAAGTGCACCACTTCACATTTTATGTGCTGACAGCAGTCAGAGAGCGCACCCCGGCTCGGACAACTTCCTCAACTTGCCGTGACTTGGGCCAGCTGTGAATCTGCAGTTCCCTCTACACGTGTCCGTTTCCTTTTCAGCGAGGCTCTCGCAGGGAGCACGGTGCCAAAACTAAATAACTAAGAGTGAAAAACACCAAACTTTCCAAGTGCAACTGAGGCCCACTCAAATGCTCAAAGAGCCATGGCACAGAGCACTCCCTGTCTCTCCATCACCCACGGCACCCCACCCACCCCCGGGCCTCGGCAAAGCGAGTCTGCAACATCGACTGGTTGCTGCTCCTGAAGGAGGACCAAACGCTTCTGCTTTTTGTCCCCAGGCCTGGTGTGTGTTCAGGGAGGCCAAACAGCCTGTGCTTGTGAGAAGAATTCACAAAACCAGCCCTAAGTAAGCTAAACCCCGTTACAGACGGATATTAGTACAGGCCCATATCTGCTTTACCTATAAATTCACTGAACAAGGAAACTGGAATCCAAGTCCAGTCTGTGTTTCTTTAGGAAGAAGTGATGTGAATTACATGAGTGTATCTTCCTAACCAATTTTAATGCCCATTAGGGAAATAAAAGTCCTTGTGGTTAAAACATTGGAGTATCGTTTCGATCCATCCAGTTTACTCTGAAAACCATTAAGCTCTAGTATTTGGTTAGGAGAAAGCCCCTGAGCTTGCCCCACCTGCCAGCCCCCAGTGGCCGTGCACAGCTTTCCAGAGGCCTCTTCACTCACAGCTTCTCTGTTACTGTCCCCAGGGAATGTGTCCTTAAGAAACATTGACAAATCACGATTAAGCAAATTCTGAACACATAGGAAGTCACACATGTTAATGCCAGGAACTCTCAAATAGATGCTAGCTTTTAGGAAGAAATGTCCAGAACTTGAAAGTGGTATCCAAACTCCTGGGGGCTTCCGCTGGCCAGCTTTCTCAGCTAAACCGGCCCAAAGGGAAAGGGCTCCATGGGGAGGCACAGGCAGAAGGAGTTTGCTCTGTATCATTCTTATGTTACTGGCCCAAGACGACCTTATTCCCCACCCACACACAACAGCTCCTTGACCGACAAAGGAACATTGAGGGGAATAGCTAGCCCACGCCTCTCTCTCTGAGTAGTCACATTACTTGAAACCCTGTCAACACTGGGCAGCTGCCTCCCTACTCAGACGTGTCACTGCTGCCGTTGCCCTTGTGACCGTAGGAAGCCTGAGACACAGTGGCAGCACACTCGAAAAGAGGCAGGCTCTGAGCCAGGGGACTTAGCCCCAAATCCTGCCTCTCCAACCTGAAAGCTGAGTGCACTGGGGGATTTTACTTAAACGTCTGGGCTTCTGTTTTCCCACTCTGAGACAGAGGTGACAACAGTACCTTCCGAACAGGGTGCTGTGAAGATGGAATATCTTCACATGTGGAAATACTTAGCACAGTGCCCGGCAAAAGTCATCAGTCAGTACCTCTCAGTTGCTAACACTGTTGCTATTATTATTATCATTTCCATCTCTGCTACACCTCCCCCGCCCTCCTCACCAACCTCATCACTTCATTCTGCACCATGCACTCTGCTCCAGCCCTCAGGCCTCCTCACCCATCCAGGCAAAGCATATTCATTCTCACCTGGTCACTGCCCTGCCTCTGCCTGCGATGCCCATCTGTTTGTTACCCAAATGCTGCCGCTTCTCCAGGCCCGGCTCCCCATGGACCCCACAGAGGCATCTCCCGGCCAAGCCAACTTCAGGAGTGTCTGTCCCTCTCTAAATGTGTCTGTGGGACATTTTGAGGTGTGACCTGATAAGTTCACTAGGTCCTTCTCTCCCCATTTTTTGATGCGTCTTATACATCCAAGCCATCGGGGCTCAACCCAGAAAGCCCTGGGCCTCCATCCTCCATCTCTTCCTATCGAAACACTGTCAGTAGGAAAGAGGGCTGCAGGCCGCTGGCTGGCTTTGCCACATTCTTGCAGCTAAAGAATTGCAGTGAATTTAAATTCTCACTTCACAAGGGACTGCTAGGGCATTGGTAATTCTTTTCATTGTGAATTCTCCAGGTGATGGCTTCAGTTCCTGTTCCGGCACTAACATCACATCGGGGCAGAGAAAAGACAATAGCACCCTCTAACACTGACCACTCCTCTTTAGCCAGCAAAGTCTCGCAGTGGCTTCCCAAGGTTTGTGTGTGGGCACTTTGGTACTCACCAGTCAGCAATGCATCCAGTTATTAGGTAGCCAAAGATTAATCCAACCAGTAAGGAGAACTTAGCGATATGGACCTTCCAGGCATTATCGCACACAAGATCCCACTAGAGAGGGGCAAATAAAAAACAGATCAGAGAGAAGCATACACAGGTGCCAGTCCTAGTCAATCACAAGGGCAAACATAACTGTGGTGAGGGCCGTGACGCCACATATACCATTAGGTGGCTCTTCAGTGTTTAGGAAAACCCCAAAATGAGAAGTAAATTTGCCCACAGCAGGCAGTGTAATGCGTTAGGCTGAGGCAGATTATGAAGGCCTGCAGTAAGTGCCCCCGTGAAACCTGGGGATGGTGCTCCTTCTGTTTCAGGTCACCTGGGAAGGTCACCCGAAGGCCGGGAGCAGCTCGGAGGCTGCGTTCCTGGCCACCAGCACCTGCGAGTGGGAAGGGCCCGGCAGGCGGGAAGGCCCCGCCAACTTTTTACACCAGGTGTGATAATGACATGAGGAAATTAAAAGCAGTTTTTGTGTTTTCATCCCCCCCAAACTTCCTAAGTAGCCAAAAATAAAAAGGGCTAATAGCAGGTGTCCAGGTATCAACTTTAAGCATCCCTATTATTTTGCTTGTAAACATGTCGTGTTTTTCCATATTCCACTCTAAAGCTATCTGCTTCACCTGGAGAGAAAGCTGATCAATCAGTAAGTGAAACATATAAACTATTTTTGAAACTACGTGTTGTTGTTACCGTATTTTTCGGACCATAAGATGCACTTTTTTCCCCCCAGATGTGGGGGGAGAAAGTCCCTGCGTCTTATGGTCCAAATATAGCCTACACATATACTTTAAAAAAAAAGTTTTTTTACTTGCCCGGCTCTGTGTGGTCTCTGTGTGCTTGCCCGGCTCTAAAATGGTTCTAAATGCTGCTGTTTACTTTACAGGGTTGATTACATGTGTTTATGACTGTGATGTTGGGTTTTAATGCACATAAAATATTTTAGGACACTATTTGTTTCAGAATCTTCTTTTCTTCATTTCCCTTCTCTAAAAACTGGTGCATCTTATGGTCCAGTGCGTCTTATGGTCCGAAAAATACGGTATTTAATAAACAAACAAAATAATCCTCCGATTGTCTTTCCTTCTTTCGCAGACACAGGAGAGAAGCCCATGTTTATTCCCTGGAACTGGTGTGTGTCCCAGGGGAGCCCCCGTGAGCATACAGCACGGGATCCACAGCCGTCTGCGTGGGGCTCAAAGGGCAGATGGGGAGCCTCTGCCGGTGGCACCACCCGTGTCACCCTCCGTCTTGGGGAAAGAAGTGGCTAAAGCTTCCAGCCCTGGGAAGATTAGTCACTCAGGTCAGTGGAGAGGGGGAGTGAAGCAGAAAGCTGGGGAGGTGCAGGATGGGTAAGGCCGTGGGGACTGTCAGACAGAGGGAGTTGTGGAAGCAAAAGCAGGATTCGTGGGGGTGGCATAGGCTGTGTGGAAGGCTGGGCTGAGATCTGATCTTAGCTCTGCCTTCTTCAATATCTCCCCCTGGTCTATCTGTCTTGAGACCCAGAGTATAATGTAGGAAATCCTTAAAGGGCATGGTAAGCTCAGGTCAATTTCTGGAAAACCTGATGGAGCCCCCAGGAGTCCTCAGCTGTGGATCTCAGCTTCCATGGGCTTCGGGAAAAGCTGGACTTCGGCGCAGACTGTGGAGAAAGGCACCTGGCCCAGACAGAGCAAGAAGGCAGGCGCCTGTCACGGTGTACCTGCACCCTTTGGGACACACACTTGCTCACTGATGTCCCCAAGGTATGGCCGACTTTCCAGAGACTTTAGGAAAGTGACTAACTCCTCTACCATCGGTTTCCAGAGCAACGGCCAACACCAGGCTCAGGAAGAAAGGGAATGCGGGCACAGACTGACAGACGGACTGAGAGCCTCATTTATAGTGGATAACTGGGGAGTGGGGCACCGCTGGGCACACAGAATCTTGTCATTTGCAATTCAAATACAGGACTTCTTTAGGTGGGTAACTTCCTCCCACATCTCTCCCAGTGCTCTTCAAAGGTGGTGAGACAGCAGCATCAGCGCCACCTGGGAATGTGACAGAGATGCAAATTCTAGCCCTCCAGGTGAATCTGAGGCCTGCTCAGGTCTGATCACCACGGCCCTGCCCTGCCATTTCCTGCCACTCTGAAGCCAAAGACTGAGTTTTGCAGGCCTGGGCTGGGTTCAGCTGCAGCATGCAGCCGACCCTGGGTGACTCTGTACAGTACACTGGTTATTGTTTTGTGCTGCAAATGCAGAATTGTGAAAATAGACTATGAGTTAAGTGGGCTTTTGATGGCACATCTGGAGAACCAACATTCATGTGTATATTACTTCTAGGAGAAAACATATTCTTAATAATCAACCCTTTCAGGAATGCAGGCTCTGCCTGCACTGCGAGTTGTAGCACCCTAACTGGAGAGTGTGCTTCCGAGTTGGGTTTACACACTGAGGCCATCTGAGTTGGTTTCTCTCCTTGCTGCCCAGCCCAGGAACCTGCCCACAAAGTCTTTCAGAGCAAGAGCTATACCTATCAGCACAGCTGGCTAACCTGGGAGAGGAGGTGCTACCACACCTGTAATCACAATATCGCAATCACACCACACCTGCCTGTGCCTCAGCCTGGCACATTCTTGGCAGAAGAGGGGCACACCTGGTCCCAGCTGGCTCCTGAAAAGGGAGGACACCAGCTGCTGGCTCTGTGGCAGGGAGTCACGGGCTCAGCTCTCCACCCAGCAGGTGAGTTTACTTGAGGTTAAGGGATAGATACAAAGAAGCACATCATGCTTCTATTAGATGCCAGGAAGCCAGGGTTTTATAATAGGATCAGAGAGGTGGGGGAAATTGCCAACACTGCAGTGAACCCAGCCACCTGAATAGCAACTCTACCTGACTGGCTGTGGGCAGCCAAGACCCAATTTAGGTGCTGCCAAATCAGAAGTTCGCTGGCCTCTGCAATGCACCTTAACCAATGGACAACACTAAAGTGGGAAGGGAAAATGCTGAGAGAGACAGGCTGGCAGGGAAAGCCTTGCTAGAGGAGTTCTCAGGCACCTGCTTAGGTCTGGGGGCGGGGCCAGGAATCCCGATCGGCTTGTGATAGGTGCATTAACCCCTCAGTCAGGCACAGAAGTAGGAGGCATACCGGAGTCTAAGAGCAAACTCACTGCAGGCCCAACAGGTTCCCCAAGGTGAGGCTCCTCATGCCTGCGGCTCTGCCCATCACAGCACCCTTACAGCCTGCAGGGCCACCCCAGGCACATTCCACAGCCTGAGAGGGGGCTGGTGGCACCCTTGAGACAACATCTTCTGTTTGACTTCTACTTCTGTACTTAAAAAAATGTACTGAGAAAAGAAAATATACTTAAGACATATTATCTTCAAAGGAATCTCAGAAGTATGAGGAAGCTTCGAGATGAACTTGCTCTCAAAATTTGCTTGCTCCACTATGGCAATTGGTCATTTCACAAGCAAAGCCTGAGGGATGTTAAAACATCTAAAACGTGCAAAAAACAGGACTCAGTACAGCTAGTTTGGTCTCTGACATTACCCATCTCTTCATCCCCTCTCCCCAACACTCAGTCACCACTTGCAGGAACTCTCCCTTTCACACACTCCCGCACCAGGATAGTCTGCTTCATGGGCAAGAAAAAGGTTCACTCACCATTCTCCAGGTGTGGGGCTGGGAGGCTAACACCCCCCAAAAACAAAAACAAAAACAATAACAAAAAACCACAAAAACACCACTTCGAGCCTCCCTTATAACTAAGGTTTTAAATGTGATGTAGGTTCTGCCAATCAGCTGCACAACCCAAAATAACTTTCAGTGCACAACCTAGTTCTAATTTTTGGGATGACTTGAATTAGGAAGCGTGTGAAGCAGGGGATAAGTGGGACATCCATTCGGCTGCTCAGATCTGGCAGGAGGACTTGGTTTGGAGGTGGCTAAGGTATGACCTTGGAGCCAGAGGTTAAACAGTGGTCCCTGGGTCCCTAGACTCCTGGCTGTGACTCAGTTTCACAGGCAGGCCAGTCTAGGGAGTTCTCCTAAGAGTCCTTTCAGAGGTTGCACCCTCAGCTGCTCCTGCATTGTAGTGAGCATGATTCCCCTGTGTTTGATCCTTATCTCCTTCAATGTCTAGTATGGTATCTGTTATCTGCAAATTGAATCCTACTCCCTAATTAAATTTCCTAGGGATGGGGTTTGCAGAACTGGATGTCACCATCCCCCCTTCCTAAACTAATACCAGAGTCTCCATGCATTAACTCTGGCCTTCCTCTAATCCATTCCCTGCAGAACAAAGAAAAGTCCTCTAATTAGGCACGTTAACACTTCATCAACAGTTCTAACAAGATCATAAAATCCTTAAAGTCTCAGCACCATTTCATAATCATAGGCTTGTTTTCTTTGCCATTGTTTGAAGACCAGGGATGTCTATGGTGATGCCACATGAGGCTTATGAGCCAAGACTGCACAATTAGAAAATTAACCCTAAAGGCGTTCTCATATTTAGTTGCACATGTTCCATTAAAAAAAAAATTAAAAAGGCAGAGGTTACAGGTAACCTGGTAGATTTTTCTTTACCCATATATATTTAAGGATGCACTAAAGTAAATAAAATTTATCAATTTTCAAAACAATAGCCTAATGGCTTGACTTGCCAGAGAAGAGAAATATTCATCAAGAAAACTAATGAAAATTCCAATGAAGATGGAAAATAAATGGGAGATAAAAAAAAATAACCTTATTTTCAGCAATAATACTATGATAAACTAAACTGTAAAAACAAGAACATAAAAACAGAGAACAAAAGAAAAACAATGTAGCCCAGCCAGTGTGGCTCAGTAGTTGAGCGTCAACCTATGAACCAGGCGGTCATGGTTTGATTCCTGGTCAGGGCACATGCCTGGGTTGTGGGCTCAATCCCCAGTGGGGGGAGAGGGGGTGTAAGCAGAAGGCAGCTGATAAATGATTCTCTCTCATCATTGATGTTTCTATCTTTCTCTCCTTCTCCTTTCCTCTATGAAATCAATAAAATATATATTTAAAAAAAAAAAAAAACCATTGAA